TAACAACCGATCAGGGGAGACGATGGGCGGGACCCAGGTCATGGTAATGAGCAAAACAACAGAAAGAGATGGAGGATGACAGTGAGGATAACGACCCAAAACTAAAGTGAATATGAGATTTGTATGACTGAGAAGAGGCGAGACGAACGTCGACACAGCTACGGGCGGAGACAGTGACGGGATGGTAGGGAAACAACTAATAATAGTAGAAGGAAACGAAAAATCTAACGTCACTAGACGGTAAACAGGGGAGGTTTCTAGTTAGGCTGAGAGCATGCGGTAAGAGGGCAAGAAGGAAACAAGGGAGACCGACGGGAGAGATCCGCGCCGCTAAAAATTGTAGCGGTGATCGGAGATGACAAACCTGGAGATCGGCGATGTCGAACCTGGACCCACACACCTTGAAAGAGAATGGAAACCGCATGGCGATGGGTACGCATCCTTTGTGCTGTTAGATCCCATGATCTATGGACTTCGTCGGCATGTTCCGTTGAGCCTCCGATAATGAGAAGAGGATTTGTTCTTTGCCTGCGATTCTCGTTCAATGCCGGTGATTATTTCGTCTGGGGTGTGATTTTTGTTCTATGTTGACGGGTCCGATCTGAGCTTAACTGATTACCTTGATCCAATCTAAAAACGAGTTGCGACACTTGACATAGACTGCTTTTCTATGCATAAGACGCCCACCCTTCTCAATGGAGAGGAAAGGATGATCTAAGACCGGACTAAATAGTGAGTTGGCAATGAAAAATCTCTCCCAAAACTGCGATTGAAGAATTCTAGAGCGAACAAACGGAGCGGATGGAGAACTCCATTGATGCTAGTTGCTAGTGCTGACTGCGTTGTTTATGATGAAATTCTAATCATTAAAGACAATTCTTTATACCGCTGCCTCCTCCAAAGACCGGAACTCTAACCAGAGATCTAATGTAGATAATGTGGACTCCGTTAGCGGATGGTCGAGTCTCCGAAGTTCCGGAGAAGGCGACGGAAAGAGAGAACACGTGGGGAAAAGAGAAGAAGAAAGGAGAGAATCTGGACCTTGGGTTTTTCTGAAAGGGGATTCTCCCTTCTTCCCTCTCTTCTTTTCTCTTCCCCATGTCTTCTCTCTTTCCCATGACCTTCTCCGACCTTCGGAGACTCGACCATCCGCCAACGGGAGTCCACGTTATCTACACCTATAATGGTAAATGGCTATAAATGGAGGCACATACTTAAAGATACAATTCGGTAAGACAATGAATAACAATTGCAAGAACATTGAAGATTTGTTAATCAAACCTAAAATTTTTAAAGTGGTTTATGAGACATTGGTAAGAACCGTTACACAAGTAATTGGAGATGGACACCCAATATATTTGAAAGGAGATCCCTAGAATTAGGTTGAATGGGTAAGAACAAGTGATTGGATGATTTAGGAAACTACTGTCATTTTGTGCCCTATTATAGATGTTGAAGTGAGATAGTGCTCGCTAGAAGATGTAGAGGTTTAGTGTAAGTCTCTTAGGGCCTGTTCATTTCCTCTTAACTCTTATCTCTTAAGAGGAATCTTACAACTTTAAGAGAAAAATGGGTGTTCATTTCCTTTTATCTCTTATTTCTTAAAGAGGAATCTTAGAAGTTTTTGTTTTCTAATGATACCCTTAAAACACAAACAAAAATTCTCATATATGGGGTTAAGATGGATATTTGACAATTTTCAAAATTAAGAACTCAGAACAACATTTTTTGTATTCAGAATTCAAAGGAAAGAAAAGTTTACCAATACAATATACTTCTTAATTTAATTATTACACTTTCAGATGTCAAATGCCAGAGCAAACGAATAGGCCCTTAATTGGTTCTTACAGAATTTGTGTTGTAGTGAACACTAAATAACCGACCTAAGTGAGTGTAAAGTGTGACCGCTTCTATGAAAGCTCTAAGGGTTGACTCTCTAAAATACTCATGATTCCAAGAAGAGGGCAAGGCCAAAATGTTCCAAAACAAAAGAATCATCAAAGAATTAGTGAGTTAGGTTGGTTGGTAGATTAGTTAGTAGGGGTGGTAAATGGGTGGATTGGGTAAGGTTTGAATACTAACCCACCCATATTGACCCACTAACCCATCATGACCCATCATCAATCCTTGTTAAAGGGTCATAACCCACCCTGACTCACCCATATTGACCCACTTGACCCACTCATATTGACCCTTAACCACCCTCACCCATACTAACCCACCTACTCTCACTTATAAATACAAAAATGGGTGGGGACGACCCTATCCCCAAAATAATAAATTTTGAGAAAATAATCTCTTTCAAGATTGCTACATGACAAAAATGAGTCAAGTTAACCCATATACCCGAAAATGAAAAAAATATAGATAAATGCAGAAAATGCAAAAAAAAAACCAAAAAATTGTAGAAAAATACAAAAAAACTAAAAATTTATAGAAAATTCAGAACTTTTGCAGAAAAAATAAGAAAATATGCAAAAATACCAAAAAATTGCAAAAAATGCAAAAAAAACCAATAAATACAGAAAATGCAGAAAATGTAAAAAATGCAAAACTTTTATAAAAGTGCTTTCGCAAAAGTACTTCTACAAAAGTACTTCTATAGAAGTGCTTTCATAAAAGTACTTTCTTAAAAGCACTTTTATAAAAATGCTTTTATGCTTTCATAAAGGTGCTTTCATAAAGTTCTTTTATAAAAGTGCTTTTGTGTAAAAGTGTTTTTGTAAAAGTACTTTTATAAAAGTGACTATGCTTTCATAAAAGTGTTTTCGTAAAAGTACTTTAATGAAAGTGCTTTCATGTAAAAATACTCTTGTAAAAGTGCTTTCATAAAAGTACTTTTATCAAAGTGCTTTTATACTTTCATAAGTGTTTTTAGAAAAGTACTTTCATAAAGTGTTTTTGTAAAAGTACTTTCATAAATATACTTTTATAAAAGTGCTCTCGTAAAAGTCATTTTCATAAAATTGCTTTTGTAAAAGTGTTTTTGTATAAAATTGCATGTGAACACAAAAAATAAAATCTATTTTATATCACTTTTAATCTCAAAATGAAATGTGGCATGGTGGGGGGCACGGGTTTGAATCATTACAACTTCTAATTTTTGAGATTTGGCTAGTATAGATAGAGTTGACTTTGACCAAACCCATCTTGACCTGCACGACCCAACCCATCCTGACCTTAATGAGTACCCTTGACCCAACCCACCCTAACCCTTTTTCACTAACCCTAATGGATTACTCGACCCATATTGACCCACTAATAGATTGGGTGGGTCAAATGGGTTTGGATTAAGATTGCCAGCCCTATTAGTTAGTTATGTTAAAGAGGAAAGGTTGAAAGAGTCTAACTCTACCTATACTCTGTAACATAATTTGTCGTACCTAAATTTTGATTGAAGTCCAAAAAATATCAACATAAATATTTCTCTCACCTCGGTGCTCAAATCATTCTTGTGTTTTGAATCTTGTGGGGGATTTTTGAAGGAAAGATTCAAATTACAAGAATTGAACTCTCCCTTAGTTTTGTCTTTGCCTTTCTTTTGTTTTTTGTTTTTTTGTCCTCTTCTAGTTTCTCTAAAAAACATGTGAAGACCTGTTATTCCACATTGCTTGGGAAAAGATTTGGCGGACTTGAATATATTAGTAGATGAATTTGGTGAATGAAGCTTTGATTTGTAAGTTGGGTTGGAGTACGTATTTTATTTACAAATAAGGAGAAGATTTGTAGAAAAACTCCTCAAATCTGCATCCAATTTTTGGACTAATTTGGGTCATGAAATTCTGTATGTACTCCCTTCAGTTAGAGTTCAGATTCATCCTCAGTCAAATATGAGAATTTGGGAGTTTGCTTGGGTTAATGCTAATGGTCTTTGATTAATCTTGCTGGGTTGGCTTCTTTTGAGACCAGGGATTTCAGAATTAGAGACTTAATTAATGGTTAAATCGTCAAATTTCATTTTTCAATATGATATTGGTTCTAAAAGTTTTCTGCAAAACCAGTGGAAATCGTAGCAAGGGAATATTAAAATTTTTCCTAACAAAAGTATGAAGACCAGTTTTTCCCACCATGGAAAACCGTTTCTTTATGGATCAATTTGGGGTGTTTTTCAACATCATATTAGACAAAAGATGGAAAAAAACCATACGTAACGTAGAAGACAACCACAAGCATAGTTGATCACTACGGTGTTCACACCTGAGCTTTCTACGTTTCCCAACAATTCGATAAGAAGGTTTAAATGACACACCGGTGTTATTACACCTCCAATGGACTGACTCTCTGATGTAGAGAATGAATTTTCAACTGATTTGCACACCTACTGGAAAGTAAAGGCAAAGACAAAACTAGGGTTTAATACCTACGTTCTCTGATGTAGAGAATGAATTCGATAAATACCTACGGCTACGGGGATGTGTCATTCATTGTGCTCCTCATTTCTCGGGACAAGATATGGTATGCGTCAGGATGGACTTCCACCTAGGGTTTAAGGCAGTTTTTGTACAAGGATCGAATTCGAATTCGAATTAAATTTAAATCCCATTAAAAAATCTGATATTCCAATTAGATTTGATATCCAATCCAAAACTTTTACATTCTTTGTCGTGGGAGGGAAGGGTAAGTCAAGCCYGACGTGCGCTACATGTCCCTCTGCATATACATACAGTAACCGTTATCCAGCCCTACCGAATGGTGGCAATCCACATCATTGGTCTGATCAAGGTTGCAGCGAGGTCCTTATCCACGTCGGTGTCCACGAGGCAATTCAACCGGGGTGAGATACAGCCCCATCAGTTGATATAGTGCTTTCTTGGATRTGTTGCATTAACTTTATTTCGGATTTATTATTATTTAAACCATGTTTTATCCATTATGTCTCCAGTTTTTTATGTATCATCTTAATTCATAGTTGTTTCAATATTTATGGGGGGGGGGGGGGTTTCATTAATTAAGATGTTGAAGTCTATTGTTGTCTTTCCAAATTCCACCATATCAATGCCTATCCAAATCATATTTTGATACATATCCTCCATTTACAAGCTTATGTGTTGATACCAGGAATCTAAATGCCCCGGCCCAGAGACCAAATGTTTCAGGCCGGTTTCGAACATCATATCTGGATTGTTGATACTAGGAACAGCTTATGTGTGCCTTGCCTCAGGCCTCATTTCTCCTCGCTAACCCAAAATATGGAATGGCAAATGCACCCAATTAAACTGCAAACTTGGGACACTACTATAGTTGTTATAAATAATCATTCTTCTCTACCTAATTAGCAAGTACAAATACAATAGCAGCTGATGCATGCATGGCTTTGATTTACATTCTAAACTCTAGTTCTCATCCCTCTGGAAATTCATGTCTTCTAACGGTCGAGCACTTGCAGTCTTGCAGATTCCATGGCAGTCAAGCACTTGCAGATGCCATGGCTCCGCCATGGAAAAGTGGAACCCCAGTAGGATGTTGCGGCAGGCTATGTTCTTCCTCATCTTCCTCTATTTCCCAGAGGAAACTAGCATAGGCTGCATGGACGTGGCTGCAACAAGAAACAGAAGCTCAAGAATTAATGCAAGGTCTGAATCAACTCAACAGTAAACAATCTGAGACAGATTCTTCTTGTAGAGAACATAAGCATACCTATCATGGGGTGCAGCTTGAACTGCCCGTTCAAAGTAACTTGAAGTTCTTTCATGGTCACGATAGAGCCCCCACACCAGTTTTGCATACTGAGACAGTATTTCCCCATCGATGGGGTCTACTAGTATAGCCCTTGAATAGTATTCCTCAGCTCCTTGTAGGTCTCTCTTAGACTGTAAAAGAATCAGCAAATCAAATCCCTTAGATAAGGAAAAAGAAAACAAATACTCCATTCAAACAAATGATTGTGACCAGGAACTAACAGAAATTCTGCAATTCAGAGATCAAGCAACTAGACTTGAATATAATCCATATCATCTCTGGAATTGTTTTAGTCTTGTTGCTCTTTGACCCCCTTCTTGTTTGTTGTAAAGCTAGAATAACAACAAGAGTTCACATGGCTGAATCTTGTCCTTGCTAACTCTACCATGGCAAAAGGGGTTGAGATTCACCATCTGTTGGTCACATTCAGTATATAACTTAGGAAAGGTGGGCCCCCACTCTCCACATGCATGTTTCCCACTTTTACAGTCCAGACAGAAAAAGGAATCCTTTTATTTTCCCTCCCAAACATCGAGACCAGTTATCCTTCTGTAATTTTGAGCCCATTTGTCTGCAATTTCCCCAGTATCTATTATTGCTGTACTCACGGGTTCTGTGTCATGTGAGCAAACCCATGAGACTGATAATTGAAATAGCTAACCAATAGGAAAACTTTTTGGAATTTTCCGACTGTAGAGAAATAACTGGGGAAGGAGATTCCTGTGAATTAGGGAATGAATAACTAGGGGAGGTTGAGTCTGGTGAATTAGGGAATCTGTTCTTCAAGCCGCGACTCTATGGTAGAATCGTTTTGAGTATTGTGAGAAGAAACCTAAGGTCGCAGCCTGCAGTCATAGAGATCCACCATGATAACATATGTGGACTGATTGCTTAACATTTTGCTCTTTCCGACGCATCAAAGCCGAGTTACAGATTTGTTACAGTGTCCTAATTCTTGAGTCAAATGCATCTCACACAACCTTGTTTGAGCAATGGCCATTTTGAGCATTTTCAGCAGCTCCTTTTGGGTTATACAATAACAAGCAGATAATTCTCAAATTATTTGAGCAATGGCCATCATAGCCACCAAAATGGACTACTAAAGCAGAGAAATCAGAATAAACTCTCTGAAAGGAATCTAACAAGGCAGAGATCAATCACTATTACTATGAAAGAAATGGTGTTATCACTTATCAGGGACCTGGACTACAGATCTCCCCAAGGATCTTGGCCCACCAAACTCATCTATCTGGACCATTCCATCAGGAGTTAACTTCTTGGACAGAGAATGACCCAAGAATCAGGTTCTCCAATATATATTAACAGTCTAATATCGAACATAAAACCCAAGAGGCAGTCCACAGATCAATCAGTCCCATCTTTGATATCTGTCTAAATGTGATTTAGAAAGCAGAGAAACAAAAAGGGAAGCTAAAGAGAAAAATAATTGTTAGATGAATGGACGGAACTCACCTGATAGAGAAACTGTGCATAATTCCTCAGGAACAAAGAATTGGTTGGATTTTCCTCCACCATCTTCTTATAATGCTCCTCGACGTTTGATCCATCTGGGCCGCTTTCACCAAAGTCCACCGGAACACCACTACTACCACAACCGCCACCGCCACCAAGTCCGCCCGCATCAGTTCCAAGACCTCTTGCAAGATAGAGTGGTGGACTAGCCGGCTCTGTTTCTCCTTCAAGTCCCGAATTAAGCTCCTCCTCCATGATCAAACCCATGTTTTTGTTCTTCTTAGAACTGATGTCGGCATTTCCTAAAGCATCAATGCTTTCTCCAATTGTAACTGACCTCTGCAACAACCCACCTTCTTGGTCTTGTTCTTCGTCTTCTTCTTTCTTAGCTCTCGAGTTATAGAAAGAGAAGCTTTGAATGGTCTCCAACATCGGCATACTGGGTCTTCGGGAAGATACTGTCGGCGGGTTGGAGCACTGGAATTCGTCGACATCGCAGGAAGCCGCAGCTAGTCCTTCCAGGTTGCCGTCCGACTGGGCCCTTCTGAAGCCTCTCGAGCCACTACCACTGGACTCCCGATCGATGTCAGTGAAACCCACAACAGAGTGAGAGTTGGGGGGCGAGTTGCAGGAGAATGAGCCGAAGCCGGGGTGATGTAGGCCAGAGTGAGGAAACGAGATCTTCTTGGGATGGTGATCAAAGCTCGATGGGTGTTTGTTGTTGTCGAAGTCTCTGTTGGGACTGTCGGGGAAGGACGAAAGCAAGGACCCAAGAATTGGGGTTGAAGAGCTCCTGAGCAGCATTTCTCCAAGCTTTGATGGATTTGTCTCTCGCAGCTTCAAGAGAGATGCTGGAGAAAGAATCAAAGAAACAGGAATAAATAAGTTGCCGAAAATCTATTTGAAAATTGTAATCAATCAACCAGCCCTTTCGGAGATCCCAAAAGTGTGGGGTGGTTGATAGGTGCAAACTCACGTGTAACGACTGTGTAGTATATCAGAATATGCATGTGATTCCTCCCTGAAAAATCTCCCTCATGATTCTGACGTTTTAAAAACCCACTCGGAACCGAAACCGGTTTGGCCACCTGTTTCTGAGTCAACGGTTCGACCATTTAGCCATCGGTCGAACAAATTATTGGTTCAAGTCGAACAGATTGATGATTCAACCATCTGGATCAGCGAAATGCTGATCAAGTCAGTGGTTGGAAAAGAAAGGTCTAAGGATGAAACGAAATCGATTGTCTGAACGGTTTTAGGTCCAATGGTCCAACTATCCGGATCGACGACGGTTAGAAAACCACTTTTAACGTAGAACTGTAGGAGATAGAAAACGAAACCAAGGTTCAGGTAAAGCTGAAGCTGGACCACAAAGAACAAAAAGGCAGGTATGCGGTATGCCTCCATCTCGGGCCCAAGTTGGAAAGTGGGTCTCTACTTTGCACGTGGCAAACAACAGGCAGGTTGATTTAAATCTTTCATCAATTGCCACGTATCTCACGTTCAAAAAAAAATTAGGCACACTAATGGGGACACTCTAATAAGTTAGACCAAGCCGAAGTATTTGTTTGAAATGACAATAAAGTACCTTAACTTTTCAATGGAGTTGCCCTCTTATAAATGACAAACGGGATGTGCCCACCTCACCATTTCGTTGTCGGTGGAGGAATTAAATTCGACAACAAAGAAGAAGTTTTGACAAGGGCTTTATATTCATGGCCCATTATGAATACTGCTGTGAAGGTGGGTTATGGCCCATCAATACAGTTTGGCCCAGGCCCATGAAACTTCTATATTCAAGCTGATATTGTAATCAATTTGGGAGTTTTGGTGTGAGAAATCAATTGGTGCTAGGGTTGCCACCAAATCTTAATTGACTTGGGAACTGGAATAATGAATGCTCTATAATGGGTTTTCATGTAGAACCTTTAAGTGTGAATGAGTAATGCATCCTATCAATCACCCAACTGGAATGTTTCAATTGAATGAATCAAGTAAGGTGTTTTCATTATTTTTCATCTTCTCATATTGAAAAGTTTGAGAGCTGTTGAGCGCAAGGGAACTTTCTATCATCCTACTCCATGCATATTGAGCTATTTTCTAGCCAAGGGGCTTCAGAATACTGAACCATCAATGAATTAAGAAGGCATGACAGAGAAAAGAAAAGAAAAAAAAAAAAAAACAGAAGAAATATTTAATCCCCTTGACAGAGATAGAGAGGGAGGGAAGAACTCTTGGTCTTTCTCAGAGAAGTTAATTCTGAATTGGGTTAAAAAAAATCTTTTGAATTAATATTCAGGAATCAAGACCAAGAACAAGTATCAGGGGAAGAAGAACTAACCTGTTCACAGAATAAAGATTCAGAACTGAAGAGAGCAAAATCAAGCAACAAATTAAAGGCAAGGAGGTGAGAAAGAGACGCCCATTGTATATATGTGTATAGGGTGGGCACTGTGAGTGGTGGTGAAAGAAACTAATTAGAGCTCTTGTAATTGAATTTGATTACGTTTGTGAGAAGTAATTCAACGGTGGAGAGGGCTTCCAGCTGTGTAGAAAAAACAACAACAACCCATCTTTAAGCTGTCTCTTTGTGTTCAAGTTGGAAAAGTAGTCATCTCAAGACTGGAGGTTGTGAAGTTACAAGAAACAAGGTGAGCATTATTATCGGCTTTTCAACGTTGGACATCGATTTGGACCATTCTTGTGTCGGTTGGATTGAGCAGAGAAGAGATCTAACTAGTCGCTCCCGGCTCACCAAGGTTGCAGCCTGCGTGGTCTGGTTCCAGCCACTCCGACCCATTGGAGGGTCTCTACTCTCCACAGAAGGGCACCAAAACGTCTATTTTTGGGCCTTGTCATGGACAGCTGCTTGGCTTGGTGTGGGCGTGATTGAAACGCACATCATTCTCTAAGGACGCTCAAGGTTCAAGCCAACACAGCTTTTGTTGTGCGTCAATGTGTCAGCGGTTTGACCGTCTCGGTCAATAGGTTAATCCATAATGTTACTATAAAAATATTTAAAAAATACAGGGCAACTGTTTTAAACTATTCTTACTTTTTAATTAATGGATAAATTCTACTTGTTAATTATTGTCTTGCACTATTATTTATGACAATCGACTAATTATACCACTGTTGATAACATCCGTTAACATTTCGTCAAAATTCGTGTAAGTGATATAATTTTCTTTAAAACCTATCCCTCTCTTATTCCCTCTTCCTTCTTCTTCTTTTCTGTCTTCTTCCTTTTAGTAAATCGAGTTCTACCTCTGCCTCAGTTTCTGTCTTCATCTCCGTCTCCACCTCTCTACCTCCATTTCTGTTCCATCTGATCCACCTCTATTTATTTATGAAACAAAACCCATTTCTACATCTCCAAATCCCCCAAGCCACCCGCATTTGTAGAAGCGTCAACAAATGATAAAGTGCAATTCCACTTTGAGAAAACCCTAGAGAAGAAACGGGTTGTCGATCTGCAAGAGAAGGAGCATTGGAAGCTCTTCTTTTTCTTCTTCATCTATATAGTTAAAAACCTCCTCTATTTCGTCGGCACAAAGATGTCGGAACTCGAAAGAGGATCGTGGCCGTCGGAGCCTACCCGCATTCACTTCGAGAAAACCCTGGAGAAGAAACAGGCTGTCGATCTGCAAAAGAAGGAGCTTTCGGACTTTCTGCTTAGGGTTTGACTTTGCCCTCCCTTTACGAGTAACAACATTTGGTGGTTCCTTCTCTACAGAATCATCGCCGGTTCCTCATCCCAGATCTTGTGACGGGGCTCGAAAAGATCTCGGTCATGAGCAGTCTTTATGAACCCACAAGTAAACTGCTCACCATTTGTTTGTGCAGGGAGTTGTTTCTCCGTCTCCATTGGTTCCGGCAAGGGGAAAAGCCGGTCCCCGACTCATTCTCCGATCTAATCAGAAACTTGGTGAAGGCAATAGATAGTTATGAGCTCTAGTCCTGGTGGCGACCAACTGCTCTGCTTTGCTATTCTGAGCTCCGGTTCCTAAAATTTTTCGTCTATTCGATTCTATTTTGAAATTTGAAGAATAGTTGAGGGTAAAACTGATTTTTCATCATTTCCGTTAGAATTTAACGGCGATCACAATTGTTAGAAACAATAGGGATGGTGTAAGATTATAATTAAACACTAAAAGTATAATTAATCAATTAGTTAAACAGTAAGAGTAATTTAAGAAATTTATCCAAAATAAAATAATATAAAAAATCAATAATCTATTAAATGGGCCAAACGTGTCATTGGTTTAATCACCCGGTTCATTGGTCATGAACCGAATCAACATTTTTTAGGCCTCGCTCATTTTGCGTTATTTGGGTAATGCGTTTTCTCACACAAGTGATTCTTGGGAAAGGTTATATAAGTATAATTACAAATATAACATTTGGCTTGAGTATGATTATACCCAAATAAGATATGAGAAATAAGGTGATTAGCATTTTTGACCTGTGGATAAGTAACTTATTCACCTTTTAGGAAAATATTGGTTACCCACCAGGTAACTAGTACTCTTGCTAAAAAAAGGGAAAATGACTTTGAACCCCTTTCATAAAAGGAAAACCCCCTTACACTTGAACGTAGAATATCCAACCGCTTAAACACAGAACTAAAATTAAAATACCATTGTATCCCCCCATCCATCTCTAATTCTTTGACCATAATGTCCATACAAAGCCTAGTGATTTGAACACCGGTTATGGAAAACTCTCGATACATAATTCAGGGGCCCATTATTTCTTTAGAACAACTTGTAAATTAAAGATAACCTGCATATTCCTGTTTAAGCTTTCTTGTTGCTAAAAGAAAATCCAACATTTATTCAATGCTTAGATGAAGTAACCCAATAATTGGTGTTTTTGAACAYCAGTTACAACTCCTCGACCCATCTAAAAAGAACATTTGTTCATGGGCAGCGAAGTTTAAATTGCTATGTGCATATTTATAGATATTAATTCAAAATTAGGGATGTAATTGGATTGGATTAAGATTGGGTTCATCAAAATTTGAATTCGATTTGATTAGTAAAAATGTGCATCAGAATTCGATCTAAAATCCAATCAGAATTTAAGACTTTGGATTCAAATTCAAATCCTAATGGATTAGGATTTAATCCTGATGTGGCATAACCCGACTGCTCCCTGCTAGAGACGATCTAGCTGCCAGCAACGATGAGAATTGGGGTAACCTACAAGAGAGGAGTCAGAGATCCCGGGGTGGCTTACCCGGCGGGGACACTCCGACGGCTAAGTTAGCACTCAGTAGCAGTAGTAGAGAACTTGAAAATGATAACAGTAAGTTTGAGAGCTAGAGAGCAAAGATTACACATAAAAAAAAAAAAAAAAACATACATTTTCCCCGGGGGGGTGAAGTCTTTATATACTGGAGTCCCCGTGGGTTGGTGGAGGGGTTCCTAGATCCTCGCTGTGATGGGATCCGCGTGTTAGGTGGGTAAAATATCACCAACTGGCAAGATTGCCCTCTCCCGTCTGAACCGGGGAGTGGGTGAGCTAATATAGCCGTTGCGAGGTACGTTCCTGTAAGATGCGGAACACGGTGGTGAGATCCTCGGGGTTGCAATGCGGTGGTCGGCCTAAACGGGAGGCGAGCTGCTTGTAAGGTACCGGGCTGCCTGGTGGCGAGCTTCCTGAGCTCGTGCTCTTTAGGTCCGACCTGATATGAATGTCGAAGTGCCCTTGGACCGAGGTGGTCCTTGTGTGATCTTGCGCCAAGGTATATTCGTCCCGAGGTAGTCTTGACCGAGGTGGTTCATCTATCCGGGTTCGATCTGTAGTGAACTTGGTTTCGTTATCCTGGTCGTGATCTGGTACTGAGACGATCTTAGTTCGGGGTATCCTTAATTCGGTGTATCAAGGTAACCGAGGTCGCTTTGTAGCGAACTGATCATGCTGAGCTGTCATTTGTGTCAAGTCACATCCACGTGCCGATCTGATCATGTTGAGTTGTCGCTTATGCCGAGTCACGTCCACGTGTCTCCCTGTTACGAGGTCGAGCCAAATTCCCCTTCATCAATTGCCCCCTACTCCTCGAGCTAGGGGTCTTGACCTAGTTTGAGGAGTTCATGATGTGACAAGTGGATTTGGCTCGAAATCAAGGCTGCTCTGTCAGATAGGTCGTGTGCGGTTCACGCACGGACATCATGCGATCCATCAACTCTATGGATGACAAAAAATGTGATAAGTTGTTTTCGACCTCGAGGGTCGTGCAGTCGGTTTTCTTAGGAGCCGTTAGATTGATTTGATCTCGACTGTTGTTTCTCCAGTACAGTGGCTATAAATAGGGGGACCTGAGGCTCATTTTCTTCACCACAATCTTACTAGCCTTCGATCTGAGGTCGCGCTTAGCTTCTTTAGCTCGGGTTTTCTAGTTCGCCACTTCCTTCCAATTGGATCGCCCTTCTTTGGTGAGTCTTCTTTAGCTTCTTTTCAGTTCAGTTTGGTTTCCTAGCTTTTCCTTTTAGTTCGGTTGTCAATGTCTTCCTTTAGCTTTGATAGCCTTTTAGATGAGGCCGAGGAAGGTACCTCGGCCCAGGTCGATAGCTGAGAAGAGGCTATTTTGAGTCCCGGGGCAGTCCGGGACCTTCCCGAGGCACAGTCACCCCGGGATGCGCGAGAGGCTTTAGGCAACCCGGTATCCACTTCTTATCAAGTTCGGGTGCCGGATCACTTTGGCCCTTCCATCATGACTGTGGATAGGCTTTGGGCCTTAGTTCACCGGTACAACCTCCCGGGCGAGTTCTCCTATAGTCTCCCCATAGGTAATTTTCCTTGGGAACACGATCATAACGAGATCGTAATTTTTGAAGATCGTGGCTGGTCTTCGTTTGCCCTTGCATCCCTTGATTATAGAGGTCCTGGAGTTTTTTAACATCACCATCGATTAGTTACACCCAATTTCTATCCGAAATGTAGTAGGACCCATTTCCCTTTTTTACGAGTACTGTCTACCCCTTGACCTCGACATTTTTTCTTCCATCTTGTCTATCAAGAAAAACTCTTCTTGTGTTCTCCCTGAGCATAGGCGGACCTTCTATCTATCTCCTCGCCCGGGCTATAAGCTTTTGCACGAACTGCCTAATAGGATCCTAGCATGGAAACGGACTTATTTCGTGGTCCGCAATCCCGCGGGGTGGCCGTTCCCTACTCATTAGAGAGCTGACATTCAAGACTCTGGTGTTAGGCTAGACCTGAAGACAAGGGAGACGCGCCAGTCTTGGGCGGAGCTCAGTTTCCATTGCAAGGACTACCTTGCCGAAGATAAGCTCGTGCAGGCTGGCTTGAGTCTTGGTAGGTCGCCTTGTTTTTTTACTTATTGAGGTTCTGATTAGTTCGTGGCTAACCTTCTATTCTTTGCAGTCATTATGCTGGAGGTCGATGCCAGGAACCTTTTCAACAGCATGCATA